TGAAATAAATTTTCCATTGGTCTAATCAAACTATTAGCGCTTTTCTTTCTCAGAGCAAATTCAGACTCTCGTTCGAATGTGAAATATCTGATCAAAGGGACATATAAACAAGGGTGCCACGAGGTTCCGTCCCGTCCTCCACACTCTACACTACTGTCACATGTAGAGGAGTACGCGTGACGAAAATAACGGGTTCTAGCTCGGATGATTGGATTATCACTTTTGTTTCAAGTTCTCTCACACATAAATACAGCGCTATCGCTGATCTACACACTTTTCAGTTCACCGTTGCAGACGCACTAGGATTCTCTGTCTTCACTAGTCGTCTCTTAGCAACATATCTCAACACAGAAATTAGCACTTAAAATCACACGGAAGTCATCTTGCCATTCCTTGTTCAATCACCCTGGAACTTCGGAATTCAACTACAAACTCTATTAACTACTCCTCCAGCTTACGACTGCTCACTCCTTCAGTCTACGAGTGTACTCCTACCGATAACTGCTTACTTCTTACTCACTCACTCACTCATCGCCCGCTTTTCGGAATCTGATCGCTTATGAAGACGCAGCATGGGCACGCCTCACAGAAAACACATGACACGTGATGATATGCACTGTTGTGTGAAGCCAAAGCGCATGCCCCGTTGCACGGACATAAAGAAAACACAGTTTCCCCTATTTTGCGTGCGCTTATTTTGAACGTCGCCAGGACATGACGTCCTTCTACTGATGCGCGTTGGAATATGCTTATGGAGCTGTTGCCTGGCAACGAGTATTCACATTATGGTATATATAGAAATAATACGCCTCAAACAACTGATGTCTCTCTAGGTCTCTTCGCTGGTGATACTTGTATATGTGTTACAGACCGCAAAGTGGGTTACGCTCTCAGAAAGCTGCAGCGTGGTTTAGTGCTACTGAAACGTGATAAGTTTGCTTGAACATAAAAATCAATGAAGATTAGACTCGGGTAGTCTACTTTTCTGAGAGACTTAGGCCCTCTGAGGTTCATCTTATACTGAATGGACGGAATGTCTCCTTCGTCAATCATGCAAAATATCTCGGTGTAATCTTTGCTAAGAGGATTACATGGAGACTGCACATAGATTGAAGCCAAGGCCTTCATTATATTTATTAGAATCTACTCCTTATTCAAAAGTGAGCTTCTAAGCGCCAGCATTTAACTAACCCTCCATAATGCATTGATTAGAACAGTAATGACTTATGCGTGCCCCTTCCGGGAATTAGCGGCAGACACCGGCATGCGTCAAGATATGTGGCTAGGACATGACGCATAGAAAGGAGCACGGTTGAAACGAATCAGATTATGAAAACCGTCGCACACCGGTCTGAGTCATGATACTGAAGACAGCTTCATGGTGACGATTCAGCTTCACAACCGCTGCTTGATCCATGGGGAAATAGCCCTCGATACCCATTGTTCGGGAGTCTGGGTGGGCAAGTCTGGATGTTGTGAAGAAGAGAAAAACTTTCCCCTGCCTGGAAACGAAACCCGGTCGTCCAGCCCGTAGCCTGTGGCTATACCGATTGACCTATCCCGACTCCTGCTTCTAGAATAGAGGGATCTATAAAATAAATTATTGTGTGAGTAATGTCAACTTGTATTGATTAGTTTGCAGGTATGACCCAACATTTCACTGCGACTTCACATCTGTTAAACTTTATTTACAAATACATCTGATATGCAACACATAAGGACCATTTAGTCACTTTTCTTTCATGGTCTGCTCAAATGTAGTCCTACTCAGGCGCGTTGTTTTCGCAAGGCATTTAATACGAAAAACAAAAATATATTTACATGTATAGGTCCAACGGGACCCCTGGTCACCCATACTGACGATTTCGTAAGGGTACCGTTTCACTACTCCGTTACGTAACTGCTCTCTAAATTTAAATATTATCTTTCAGGAACTTTCTCTGTGCTTAGTTCGTATGTCATGACTGAGAAAGACGAGCAGTACATCTATTTATTATTTTTAACATGTAATTTTTCGTAGTTTATTTAACATCACAGTCCGTAGCTCAGATTGACATCGTCGATTGATGGAAGAATTTACGAATTAAAAATTGGAAGAAGCGACGATATAATTTAAAGTGCCTTCCGCTTATTTTACAAAACGGAATGAGGAAAAGAACGAAAATCTTCAGCAAAAGTTTCGGGACCACCAGGGAAATTTCGAATAAAAAGCAGGGTTGCTTCTCATTGAACACCGATATTTGGTATTTACTGCGTATGACACAAAACAGAGTAGCTCCACCTCTCCGAAAGTAATCAGAGAACTTTGGTGAAATAATGTATTTGTGTAAAAGGCATAGACAGAAATACTAATATATACATATACACACATACATATTGGCTCATTAGAGTGTCTGTTTATTTTGACTTGACACAGTTCCTAGGGAAGACTCATCTCACACACTCAAATGAAACCTCTGAGCGAGTATCTTCATTTTAGTGCATTTGTATTTCATTTAATTGTTTCGGAGGCTTTACATGAAGTTGAACAGTACGGTCTTGAATTTTCGAATAAGTTACGAAATATACGCTTAACCAAACACTTCTGGCGCATTCGTTCAATTTTGTACAATTATTTGAAAACAATCAGGGCTCACATAAGAAAACATGCTTGTAACGAAATGTATGTTTCAGTTCTCTGTCCGGGACATTTTTCGCAAGAATAAATATTCAACAAGTTACCCCCGAGATTGGGGCAAAGATGCATATAAGTATTTGAGTAAAATTTTTCATGATTTGATTTTGGTTTTGACAAAAATTTAAATATGCGACAATTTTTAATAGAGCTCTCTGACGTCAGATTTTCTGAAAAAATTGTTAAGCGGTCCACGAACTGTTACATGTCGACATGCGGATGGACGGACAGGCAGTAACGGTGAAAGCTAATAAGTGCATTATTGGAACGTCCCGTTAAAGCCTCAGAATATTATTACTGTGGCGCATCACACACGATACGGAGCTTATTATCTCCTAAAACTTATACTGCAAACATTATTTCATATGCTGAATATTTGAGAAAATTTCACAGAATTATTCAATTCTGTGTTTTATACACCATCGTCAGAGCCCTTTAGAATATAATTTAACAAAATATAAAGAAAAATAATTCGTGACTCTTTGTAGTGTGAAATCTATAATTCGAATAACGGATAATTGGGAAATGTTGAGGAAGAAAGAGTTTGTGTCTTATTTTCGGGCAAGAATAGCTCAGCACTTTTCACGGGGACAAGGTAAATCGAAGAAAATGAAATACATGAGATTACAGGTTCACCGAGTACTGTACTTACTGTATCAACTGGGAAGTTTCAATGAAATTCAATCCGTGTCGTGTATTATCTGGACTACGGACCATACGGTTTTGCGAACCATCTGTTGGGTAGGTCCTCGCCGTGACGCAACAAGCCATATTGAGGCCACCAAAAGGGAAAATAGTCGTTTTAAACACAAGAATGCAGCGCCACCTCGTTGTGAAACTCAACAGTTCCACCCTAGGCTCCTGAATCATATGGGAACCGTCTGCAGAATTACGCCAGAGAGAAAGGCGTTGTGGGACACTGGAACGTTATAACTGCAGATACTATTTAAAGTACAGCAGCGGTCGTGGTCCCCTGTAAGGATTTGGCCTTCTCAATTGAAATGTTTTCAAAATCGTAATCATTGCAGTTTCTTAGGGAATGCGGTTTATAACTACTGCAAATTGCCCAAGGGCACTGGTGTCCCTGTCTCTGAAAGCAGAAGAATTAATGTGTGTAGAAGCACGGCGGAAGAACTGTATGAAAACTCTGTCTGACTGCAAGTCTCCTGCAGCTGGTATAAACAGGTATGATTAAATCTTTTAGAATGACTCGGTGTACCTTCTGCTTTAACGAATGTATTTCGTCCACAAAACGTCTTTATGGGGTGTTACATCTTCTGGGATACAACACTGTGTATTTCGTAGGGAGCCAACCGACGTTTCGGAATAATATGTCGGCTCGATATTCAGTGTCGAAGAATAAGCCAAGTAAGAAAGCAACATGAAAGTGGAGGGGATACATTCCTCCGAAACTTTCATTGGCTTTTAACGGATTAAGCAGCGTTATATCCAAGAACACAGAAGTTTTCATAACTACTGCTATGTGAACATCAAATCATGTTTCTATGAGCTCTGTTTTGTTCCAAGAATAACACAATAAACAAAGCGGTACAAGAAAACACCGTATTTCTGTTACAAACATATCAAGGAAGGAGGTATACTGTTCTGTAAGCAGTAAGTCTGCGATGTACAAACTATTAAAAACTCTACCAGCTTACTTTATTGTCAGTGACCCCATACCCAGGAGAGGAGCAAAAGAACAATTACAACTGGGAGATGGGTTGCATTATAGACAAACACTGATAAAAATAGAGTTTAACTATCACAACGGAAAGCAATGTTGAAAGACAACGTAAGAAGACGTCGAGACCTTTACGAAAGGGAAGATGTAGAAAATTATGAAACGAGGAACTTTACAATTTGTACTCTGGAGTGGAGAACATGTGTGAAGTGAACAGCATGTGTAATGGGGGCTGTGTATACAAGAAACATACGCGTACACAAACTCCTGGTCTGAAATCCTCAAGGAGCGAGACCACTGGGAAATTTAATCTTCAATCATAATATGAAAATTTATGTTTGAAAAATAGGGGGTGAGGGTATGAATTAAACTCGTGTGGTTCAGGATGAGGCCCAACTGGGGCTTTTATAGACATGGTAATGAGCCAATCTCAGCCTCACTGATTAGACCTAATGAAATCAAAACTTTTAGTACAAATTCGGAACACGTGTTTCTTACTCACATAGTAGGCCGACTTGAAACGCAGGCTCCTATCCTGTTCCTGGAACTCATTTTTTCTCAACTTCTCATAATCACCGCTCAACTTGCGTAGTGTCCCGTAGACCATTGCGTTCCTAACACTATTCGTCACACTGGACAACTCGCCTTGCTGACTGGAGTACGAACTGGAGAAACCGCTGCTACTCGTGGAGGATGAAGACGATCCCCGGACAACGGCCCTGCTGGCCCTAGTTGACTCTTCTAGTCTCTGCAGCAGCAACAGACGGGCTGTCTCTCTGTCTTCTGAAGGTCTGGTCCTCAAAGCCCCGCCACTGCTACCGCTGCTGTTACTAAGGGCTCGAGACATCTTCGTCAGTGACTCCCTGTGACTTAGACTCACTGATAGCTTCCTGAGGATTTCTTCAGAAGAAGGACTTCTCTGTAGCGATTCAAGTTTGAGAGTCTTTTTGCAGTTATCTTTGGGCGTTCCATTTTCTTTGAATTCTGTGACTTGACTAATGGTATTTGATAGTCCCCTGACGAGTTCTTCTGAGGATACGATCCTTGGATCTGTGTTTTCCGTCGACTTTCCAGAATTCTGGTCTGAAGAAGTATATGTGAAACTAGTGTAAAGCAGTAAGGCATCGTCCACGATGGAGTCTGGGGGCCCTTCCTGATGTCGTGGCCAGACAGGTCGCGGAATGCAGTAATCTACCTTACCTTCCGGAATAGGAGTCAGCATGACTCCAATGGGACGCTGGTTATATCTTTTAGGACTAGGATTATTGCCTTTGACTGCCACCAAGATGCTCTTCACATATCCCAAATTCTGCTCCAGAATAGTGATGGCGTCGTCGCGCAAGATCGCAGGCTCAGTCGGCTCTTCAGTTCCGCTTTCTGAGGACGAGTTGTACCGGTGGCTGCCATAGCCGGAGCTCGCTGATTTCTCTGGGAGCTCTGGAGAATCCTGCTGTTGCTGCTCCTGATGGTTCTTCCTGTCGTCACAGCCAGATCTGTCGTCGTCCTCGTAGAAAAGAGGATTCACTCTGCCAACAAAGAAGGCATTTTAAGAGTCGGGACAACTCAGTCTGTAGAGTGACTGGATGGCTTGTTTTGGTACCGGCACAGGTAGGAATGTTTTTCTTTGCCACCGTTGTGCAGTCTCCTATCCAATGGATTGAAGGAGCTCTTTCTTGGGGGGGGGTGAAAAGGTCATACATTAAATCCTATCACCATGAATATAAGCACGGGAGTTATCTACTGAGATGTCCACAAACTTTCTGGTGGCATAAAGGAACAGCTGAACATGCCTCTTTGTGAATTGGGCGCAGGAACATGTGTGTTGTTTCTTTGTCTAAGCATCATGGCACGAAGACGAACATAGGCGTGGCTGTAAAATGCAATGTAGACACCAACTAAAAGTTTTTCACGCAGTGGCCCTTTCGTGCTAAAGGAAACGTGACCTTGGATGGTCAAATCAGTGTATGGCCATTCTGAAGAGAGACGTCCGAAGTTTAAACATCGTACAGACATATCACTCACAACTGGTTACCCTGCAGCTGCTAAGGCCTCTGAGAGATTGCGACAACACGCATGTAAATTATTAGGTACTATTTTCCGTATTATTAGCAAAATGTCGTGGCCATCCGTCCGACTGTATGTTTCATATTCGGAACTATTTGACGGATTTATATGAAATCTGATACTGGAATTCAACACTAAATCTGCGAGCAGAATTTATATTTGGTCAATAGAGGTCAAACATAACCCATAATTTGTATGAAGCTTAAATCGAACTTAATATTCACAAAATTGGCTGACCGTGCAAAAGAACTGGCGCATTATCATGTACTGATCTATTTACTTTAATCATATCTTGATATGCAATGGGAAATAATTTCTTATTTTATGCAGTGTGATCAGGTATACAACAGCATATGTTTGCCCTCAAGAAACCAGTCTGAGGGTTAGCGAAATATGCAAAGTAAGTATAAACGCATCTGCAATGTATGTATGTATGTGATATCCAATTAAGCAAAACCGCAGAGAAACACACGGCCTCTCTTACATGTACAACTCACATCAAGTCAGAGCTGGACCTGCCCCGGGCAATCAAACGGAATGAGTCCATTCCATTATATAAGCGACGCGAGCACAATATGAAAGTAATGCAACTTTCTCAGAACGTGGCGAGTTACATACTCAGACTTTATTTATGTATGGTTTATTTAGAGACGGAGGCAACAGTTCACCATACTAAGCATACTAAGTACAACACGGAATGATTACATGAATGCTTATGTGAATAGTGAGTTGCGAAGAGTGTAGAAGGAATTGGACGTGACCTAATTGGAATTCCTATCCAGGCTTATGACTGTATGAACTAATGAAAGTGACGAAAACCCTCCGAGAGGATAGCTGGCCTCAAGGCAAGATTTGAACTCGGGACCTCCAGAATTTGAAATTCGACTGCTGTGCACCGAACGTAAGGAAAGACTTTACTCTACTGTCCATTTTTAGAATTTGAAATATACAACGCGTATCAAAAACTGACACACAAAAAATTTCCAAACAAATTTGTTTTCTCCACATGCTATCAAATTATGCCTTTGGTGTCGTCCATACGCACAATACTCTGAGCACTTTAGAGCCTATCAGAGTATTTTCTTACGTCAAAATTCTCGGCCGAGTGAGAATACAAGTAATCCCTATTTCGTACTGGGGTAGGTCCAGGTTTCAAATTTATACCTAGAGACCGGGTATCATGACTAAGATTTTCATGATCTTCCTCAGTCCCTTTAGGTAAAATCTGATAAAGTACTTCAAATTATGCAATTACTGATCCTTTCTTCGTCCTTTCCAATTTATTCTTCAGTAATCAACATATGATTCTACGCCATTATTAAATAAAACGAAAATAAAAATGCAAATAATACATAGTCTCTCTAGGGCTAACCCAAACATTAATATCGACCCTAACAATATGGACCAGGTTTCGTTGATCGCATCACAAGTTAAGTAATGAGGCTTCGTCAGCTGCAGATTGTCCTTGGAACTGGCGGGGTGCCACTGACCTGCTGACGGCGTAGATCTCGAGTGGTCGGTCCACCTTGTGCGCGCAGATTGTGGCCAGGGGATCGTCGGTTACAATGTCGGTAGATATAACAGAAGCAGTCTGAGGAGAAGGGGCTCCTGCCAACAGCCACTTAAGCATTATTCCCCCGTTCCGGGTCCCGGCTTCACCGCCCGGCTTTACCTCGTCCTGTTCGGCTCCTGTAACAAGTTCTATATTCATATTAATTTTGTATCAAATAGATTCAGAGAAAAGAATATAAACCTTTGAAATGACAACTTAAAACCCCTTAGCTCTTATAAAATTTTAGACGAACAAGTTAGGAAATTTACTCATAACGTGTCAATTCTGGGGCGTTCACTTCGTTACTGCCTCAGGACTTTCAAATGTTTACTTTCGATGCAGACACGATGGACAAGAAACTTCAGTATCTTATAACGTTTGATCAAACTTAGTTCTACAGTCCAATTCTCGAGTCACGAGATAACACACCATAGGAATCAATTCCTCTAGATATCACGAAACTTACTTACTTACTCATGGAGCCGAGCCAATCTTGAGGAGCCGCCAATTCTGCAGCTACTCCTGAATTTCCCAGCATTTTATGGAACCTGAAGGTTCATCACCGTGTTCACAAGAGCCCTCCACTGGTCCCTATCCAATCCATACCATCCCATCCTATCCCTCTAAGATCCATTCTAATATTGTCCACCCACCTACGCCTTGGTTTTCCATGTGTTCTCTTTCCTTCTGGCTTTCCCACCAATATCCTATACGCATTCCTCGTCTCCCTCCTTCGTGCTACATGACCTGCCCACCTCATCCTCCTTGACTTGATCATTATAATTATACTTGAAGAAGAGAACAAGTGATGAAGCTCCTCATTATGTCGTTTTGTCCAGCCTCCTGTCACTTCATCTCTCTTTGGTCCAAATATTCTCCTTAACTCCCTGTTCTCAAACACCCTCAGTCTATGTTCCTCCCTTAATGTCAGAGACCAAGTTTCACACCCATACAGAACAACAGGCAAAATTATAGTTTAGTATATTCTAAATTTTATATTTTTGGACAACAGACGAGAAAACAAAAGGTTCTGGACTGAATGGTAGCAAGCATTACCCGAGTTCAGTCTCCTCTTAATTGCCTCCTGAATCAGCTTTCGATCTGTTATCGTTGTTCCCAAATATCTGAACTGTGCCACATTTTCAAAACATCTGTTTCTTATCTATATGTCATGATTTTGTCCTGCATTTTGGTGAGGAGACAGTAGACAGTAACATATACTTACTTTTCTCTGTGTTTACGTCTAGACAAACCTCTTTACTTGCGTCAATTAAAGTTTGTGTGTTTTTCTTTATGATATCTGCATTATCACCCAGTAGATTCACATCATCGGCACAGGCCAAAAGCTGATGTGTCCCGTTCAGTTTCAGTCCCACCTGGTTTCCCTGGACCTTCCTAATTGCATATTCTAAGGCAAAGTTGAAAAGGAGTGGCGATAAAGCATCTCCTTGTTTTAAACCATTCTGAATAGGAAATTTATCAGACAAATGTTTACCCACAGGGACTTTACTTTACGTTTCGTTTAAACACATTTTAATCAACCTAACTAGTTTCATGGGTATCCCAAACTCTATCAGAATATTGTACAATACTTCCCTCCTAACTGAAACGCAGGCTTTCTTGAAGTCTGTGAATAGCTGATGTACTGTCTCATCGTACTCCAATTTTTTCTCCAATATCTGACGAATGCAAAAGATCTGATCTGTAGTTGATCTGTTACGTCGAAACCCAACTGATGATCCCCAATAATTTCATCTATATATGGACTTAATCTTGAAAGAAGAATATTGGAGAAAATTTTATATGAAGTTGATAGCAGTGATATCCCCCGATAATTACTACAGTCAGTTTTATTTCCCCTTCTTGTGATATCACGAAAACCTAAGTATACTGAAAAACTTACTTACTTTCTCATGGAGCTCAGCCCTTCTGGAGGAGCCCCCAATTCTGCAGCTACCCAAGAATTTCCCAGCATTTTATGGAACCCGAAGATTCATTACCGTGTTCACAAGAGCCCTCCAATGGTCCCTATCCTGAGCCAGATCTATCCAATCCATACCATCCCATCCTATCTCTCTAAGATCCATTCTAATATTGATCACCCTCCTACGCCTTGGTCTTCCCTGTGGTCTTTTCCTTCTTGCCTTCCCACCAATATCCTATACGTATTCCTCGTCTCCCCCATTCGTGCTGCATGACCTGCCCACCTGATCCTCCTTGACTTGATCATTCTAATTATACCTGGAGGCGAGTACAAGTTATGAAGCTCCTCATTATGCAACTTCCTGACACTTCATCTCTCTTCGATCCAAATGTTCTCCTCAACACCCTGTTCTCAATTAAAATTTTTCTCTCCCTTTTCGCTCTGTTAGATAATTGGGGAGTTATCAACTAGACGCTCGCAGAAACACACAGAGGTCTCCTTGTAAAGAATTTGCTATGGTTGTCTGATTATATAACAAATTGGCATCATCCTCAAATTTTAATGAGTGTTACAAACAGCACATATCGTGAAAACTCCTCATCGGTTCTCGACTTCTTAGTCGTTGACTGATATATTGTGAAGCTAAGAGGCAAATTGCGTGACACACATGAAGGATCTGTTCACTTCTTACACTGTTGCATAACGAACATGAAGACACGCAGCGGATCACTTCACTCCTTATACTGTTGCGTGATGCACATGAAGGGACGCAGCAGATCATTTCACTCCTTACACTGTTGCATAACGAACATGAAGACACGCAGCGGATCACTTCACTCCTTATACTGTTGCGTGATGCACATGAAGGGACGCAGCAGATCATTTCACTCCTTACACTGTTGCATAACGAACATGAAGACACGCAGCGGATCACTTCACTCCTTATACTGTTGCGTGATGCACATGAAGGGACGCAGCAGATCATTTCACTCCTTACACTGTTTTATGACGAACATGAAGATACGCAGCGAATCACTTTACTCCGTACATTGTTGAGTGAGGCACCAAAAGACACGCAGCGGATCACTATGCAGTTGCACGTGGCACATCAAGAAACACAGTGGATCACTTCTCTTGTTAAACTGTTGTATAACGCACGTGAAGACATGTGGCGTATCGCTTCACTTGTTACACTGTTGAAAATACGGGTGAAGGCAAGCAGGCCATCACTTCACATCTTACACTGCTGCACAACGCACCTGAAGGTACGCATCTGGTATTTCACTAGTCGCACAGTAGCACAAAGCACGCCAAGGCACGCGGTGGATTCTTCGCTTGTCATCAGTATAACGCACGTGATGGAAAGCGACAGATGCTTCACTTTTACACAGTATCATAACGCAGGTTTCCTATTCAAAATTGTCTAAAACAAGAAATGCTTCAGCGCCATTGTTTATCAACTTTGCTATAGAAAATGCCATTAGGAAGGTCCAGAATAACCTTGTGAGACTGAAATTAAATGGGACGCATTGGCTGTTGACGATCTAAATCTGATGGTAGATACCATATATAGAAAAGGATAAACAAGGGAAATTATCGGTGACAAGACAGCTATTGAAAATAGATGGCAGGAACGATTTCAACAATCTCTACCACCAAAGGTGGACAACATTCATCATACTTCAGAAGACGCCCTACAAACTGATGAAGGAATAGAGGTCCAATCCCCTACACCAAATGATATAGAGCGGGCAATCAAAATGCAAGCGTCCAATGAGGCTCCTGGCAAAGATTAAATCCCAGGAAATCTCTTGGAATTAGGTGGAGAACTTTTAACACAAATATTGCACAAACTCATATGTAAGAAATGGAACGAAGAGCAAATGCCTTCTGACTTAAGGAGCAATACAATCTGCCTTATCTATATAACAATGAGAGGTAATTATATAGAAATCTCCCTTTAAACTGACACATATAAAGTATTAACTTACAAGGAAAATGCTTGAACCCAATGCCAAACATGTAGTCGAGGAATATCAGGCGGGATTCTGGAAAGAATTATGGACCATATACTCGTATTTACTATTAAACAGATATCCGAAAGACTTTCGGAATATAGTGTGATCTTTTTTCTGACACAAATAGATTTCCGACAGGCCTATGATCATATTTACAGAGAAATAGTGTGAGAGGCTGTGATAGGACTGTGAGACGTTGAGGGTCCCACATTATCTAGCCAATTGGCTCAAAGATGGCGGTAAGGTTGTCAGCCTTACGCGCCGGCCGCGCTTTACTCCCCAGGAAAATTATTTGATTGATTTCTGGTACCGTTTCTGTTAGAGGCTGAGTCGACCCCAGGGCCATAGTGCGGCTGGAAGGATTAGATCAGTTGAAAAATATCCAATAACCTCATCGGGACTTGAATCCGCCACCTCCCGGCTTGTAGCATAGTGCCCCAACCAACTACGCTGCCGCGTGCCCCCTACAGAGAAATACAAATTAAAATCATTACACTGGTAAGCCTTGCAGTGACAAGCACAGAAAGCCAGGTGAGGTTGCAGACGAAGTTAACAGATTCACTAACCACAAACAAGGTTTAAAACACTCAGATGGACGTTTTTCCTGCTATGTAGGTTAGTTTTGGAATTCGTTTTAAGGCGACCAAGCGTTGTTCTAAATGGGATGACAGAGATTGTGGCTTAAGCACATGACATTGCTAATGCTCCGCGGTCCTTGTCAGATGAGACTTAAACACATAATGAACAGACTACAGGATAAAAAGGGCTTAGAAATCAACGTAAATATAACAGAATTATTGATTCAGAAGTAAAGAGCAGATGAGCATAATGGCCGAAACATTACAGGCTACTGAGGACTTCGTATATTTGGGGTCAAACCCAAGTACAAATTTAGGTGAGCGTCGCTTAGTAACAGGATGAGTGGGGTTATGTGACGTCACTCGTACTTCCTGTTGCGCTATCTAAGCGTTCACCGAGCTGTCGCCTAGCAACGCGCCGAAACAATCCGCAACTCTCCCGTTGCGCGCGTGCCCCGAGGCCTCTGTAACTCAACAGTTTCTGCATAGAGGCAGTACGCCACAATATATATGTGTGTGTGTGTGTGTGTGTGTGTGTGAGGGGCAGTCAAATGAAAAATAAATAGTAAACCTTATGACAAAATCTGCTGCTACAGAACAGGTTGTTATTTTCTTCCTTGAACTTTCTG